TATAAATATTTTTTAATTTTCTAATATGTCCATAATTAATATACTTTAATCATATTCAAACCATTAAGTAATGTAGGTCTATATTAGGAAAATTGTAAAATAAAAAATTATATTTCTAACTATATTAATTACGTTTTCTTTAAAAAAAAGGCTATATTTATAGTATGGAGGCAGTGCTATTTAGTTGAGTAAACACATAGAACATTGCAGATTGTAATATTTTAAATGTATTTTTTGAAGAGTTTCTTGGAGCATAATTTTATTTTTAAAATTTGACTTTTTAAAATAGAGATCGTTTTTTTTTTAAAGAGCCTTTTGAAGATGCTCTAAACTTTAGGATCCGCTTGGGAGTTATTTTTTCATCGTTTTTGAGTGGCACCGTTTTGGAGATGTTGAAAAATCATACTAATTAGTTTTTTAGGGCATTGTCACAGTTTTTGGATTGCACTGTTTATTAGAGGTTAGAAAAATTAGTATAGTGTAATGTTGCCAGTATTTATCAACCAACCAAGTTGGTGAGTCTTGACCTTTTCTCAAATTTTCTTCCATTTACCTTATATAAAATAATTATTTTCTGCTCACATATTTTGTTCAAAACTAATTTGTAAAAAAATTTCTATAGGCAAATAAATTACTTTATAACTAAAAAAAATTATTTATAAGTAAAAAATTACTTACCAAATAAGATCATAAGGATACATTTTGTGTAAAAATGTGTTTATAAAGTAATATACTACCAATAAGACAAAAATTCACTCATAAAGTATAAAAAATTACTTATAAGTAAAAAATTACTTATGTGTAAAATATTGTTTAAAAGTATAAAATTTACTTATAAGTTAAAAATTAGTCATAACAAAAAAATTTAATTATGAATAAATATTTCACTTTTTAAATTAAAAAATAACTTATATGTATAAGTAAAATATTATTTATTAGTAAAAAAATATCATAAAAGAAATAACAAATTGAAAAGTTCAATGGAGGACATATATGTTATTTTGTTCTTTTAAAAAATTTTCAAAACGCTGAATAATAAATTTCCAAGTATGGACTGTGATATTTTAAAAATCCCTACTAAAAATCACTTAATATCGGATCCCTTATTATCATCCAAAATCGATTATTTCAAAAAGCACATAACATGTACCCTAGAACTCCCAAGCATGTCATAAAAGATAACTTGTCAACATTGAAAATAAGTAAATTATTTTGTTTAATTGATAGAGTAAATTTTAAAGGGTAATTAGGAAATATCACCTAACATATACTTGTTTTGTGAAATATCCTCCAACCTTTCATTTTGGCGCAAAACCTCCATAGATGATCCAAACTTTACAAAATACGACATTTTCGTCAATTTTCTCCACTAAAAGCATGTGAAACGATGAATTTATCATCCTCTTTAAATACATAAAAAAGAAAAAAATAAATAAAGAATTAATTTCATCATTATCTTAAATTTTTAAAAAAGTGCAAATGAGTTTCAATTAAAATGACTAAAAAGAAAAAAGAAAAATATATTTCACCACCATTGTCTCCTTTTAGTCTAAAACCACCATCGGGAGGCATAAATCAAGCATTGTTTCTTCAAGATATATGTCACCTTCAACTTCCACTACCACTTCCACTTCCTCCTCATCATATTCTCCATCTTCATCATTAAAGGAAGCTACGCCATCCTCAACTTCCGTTAACTCGTCTAGACACTTCCTCGACTCGATCGATTTTCGTAATGCACGAGATGTCCAAGCCACTACAGCAAAAGAAACTTCAATGAAAAAGTTTGATTTATTCACACAAGTGCTGGGATTATTTCACCCAAATACCACACAGACATAAATTAACAACCCAGAACACACACTGCATGAATGAAAAATAACACCAAATTGTTTATCCAGTTCGACAAAGCCTAATCTGGAGGGCTCAGAGGTAAATAGAGCATGTCAATATGCAAGAACCTTTCAAGAAAGAGTGGGATAATCAGTACAAACCAAGACTCAGATCGTAACTCTACACACGGTTATCGATCCACTACCGGATCTCCCAAATCAATCTACACTACACAAATCAACAACCTCACAACCACAAACAGGTGCAGGTTTACCGGTTTAACTTTGGGTTCAAATGAAACTCGAAATTAAACCTAAAACACTTAACACGATACAAAATTACACTAAATAACCAAGGCTCAATTCTGTTTTACTATACAAAAACAGCAGATTAATACAACTCCAAGATTCGAATGGAAACCTTCGAAAAATGACAGAGAAATGCCTCACTAAGAAAGAATGAAACCATGTGAAAACAGAAGGCCCACAAAAGTGACGGTACAGTAGCCATAGACGAAATATATGCATTAACCTTAAGCCATAGATCAAATCCAACGGTCCAAGTAAGTTTCAAAGAAAAACAGATCCGGGTGAAGGTCAATGGGCCAATAAAATCACGCCAGTGAACAGACGAAGTAAAAACGTATTTTCACTTCCAAAAACGGGTTTTAGAACCACAACTCACAATCTTCACATTGGTTCTGAAACCTCTCACTCTTTTTAGGTGCTACAATGCATGTGATGGTATTTTACCCTACATCATCACCCAGGTACCTGCAAAAGATTAACCAGTATCAATATGCAATAAAGATAAACAAGATCTAAACTTGTTCACGGACAGAATTTTGGTTCCCATATCAAATAGATTTATATCAGTATGAATTTTTCCAAGAATAATCTCACCACTTGCAATTTTCTCACGTATAAAATGGTACTTCACCTCAATATGTTTGGATCTTTCATGATAAACAAGATTTTTGCAGAATAGTAAAGCACTTTGACTATCAGTGAAAATTGTAGG